TACTCCCTCCATCGCCGAAAAATGTCATCATCCTTGGTAAGAGGGTGTCCAGATCTGTCCTTCAAGACTCATAGTCTACCCTACTTTTTACCTCGGAACCGCTAGATGGTCTGCCAGAATACTTTGCTTGCCGTGTGGAAGTTCGACTCCAACACCACACCGAACTTCTCTCAGGAATCAGCCTTGGCTTCTGTCACTGCTATGCCTGCCGCTTTGCGTGCCTCGACATATCGCACTCGAGTAGAGGACTCCTTGTTTCCAAGACATTTCTTGAACGCTGCTTTCTTTGCCTTAACTGCCAGTTGTATCTCTCGTGTCCACCATGAAGGTCTTCTCTGACCTCCAGGCGGCAGACCAACCCGTTTATATCCGCAGCATTCGGCGGCAGCCTCGAATTTGCCGCTCTTAAAGAGCTGCCGCTCGATTTCAGTTCCTATCACTGGGATCTGCTCAAACCGTCCTGCGATGTTGCTTGCAAATTTCGCTCTCGTGTCCAGCGAAGATAATGTTTCCCATTTGATTGCCCGGTTGTTTCTGCCACCAGATCTTCGCATGGCGCTCCATTTCTTACAGCGCAGCGTGCCAACAACAAGGTGATGATCGGTTGATAGCTCTGCTCCTCTCTTAACACAATCATTTATTTTTGAGCGTCTTAGGTCAGACGATGCGATTATCAAATCGATCATCGGCTTTGTGCACAAGCTTCTCGGTACGAAGTGTACTGAGGCACTTGTCGATGCTCGAAGAAGGTTTTTATAATGGACAATCCATTGTTTGCAGAAAACCGCAACAAGTCCATGCCGTTATTGTTGAGGTCGCTAGTGCCGTGTTTCCCAATCACGCCGTTCCACTTTTCAGTGTCTTCTCCGACGTGCGCATTAAAATCGCCCATCAGTATGAGGGATTCTGTAGTCGGCAGTTCGGATAGAGCACACCGCATTTCCCCAAAGATGGTTTCATGTTCTACCTCCAAATACAACGTACTCAATATATGAAACGCGTCTACACTATCATAAAAGTAGAGATGAGACATTCTGCACTCTACACTCTGCAACAACCTATTAGGCTATTAGAACGACTGTCTGGCTTGATTCAAAATTGAAACGACTCGGATTAAAATTATTTCATGCAGAATGCTTGAGTTAAAACTAACGATGCTTTTTTCGTACCTCGGCTTTATTTTCATTGTAGGTTGTTATCAGGAAAACAAAATATTTTATAACGTCTGAAAATAGTGAGCATGGCCATGTTGCAATAGTGCCGGGCATTCGAGTGCACTATAGCAACACATGAAAATTCGCAAATGGAAACAATTTGCTAATGTAGCGAAACGTAGGAGCACATGGTTCTGAAAGAGTTTCGAGTTTAACTTCTTCACTTGGACGCAGCATATTATGCAGATATGTGCAATATTAATCACGTTATAGGTTACGTCGAAACTGCGTATCGTTTCATCATTTTTCGTATATATATTTTTAGCTTTAAAAAAGAAACTCTTCTTTGCATTAGTTTCGAAGCTATGAAGCAATGCTGCCAAAATAACCGGCTGTTTACTTTTTTCCTATAACAGCTTGTAAACCCTAACTATACTTGACGGTCAGTTATTCACACTGTGTCAATCGAATGAATCACGTCGCGCACGAAAGTTTATGACCCGGAATTGGTCTTAGTATTGTGCTTTGTGATGATTGTTGAGTTGAGCAGAGAACGCAGTCATCTAGCGGTCCTTGTCATCCGGTGTTGGTAGCGATCGATGAGTTGGACGATGTCCGCCGCCTCCAGGGCCATAAAGTGCGTGGTGGTGGGTGATGGCACTGTCGGCAAGACATGTAAGCTCATAGTTGGTTGTCTAACATTTCACTGACCTTGTCTGATCGTCGTCGTTTCGTTGTTTTAGGCATGCTCATATCATACACAACCGATTCCTTTCCTCAGGAGTACGTGCCCACCGTGTAGGCAGGCCTAACCCGCTGGATAGACGTTTCGGCGACAAGTGTCTGTAGCACCCTAATCGTCGCTGTTTAGGTTCGACAACTACTCGGCGCCGCTTGTCGTTGATGGTGTACCGGTGAACCTCGGTCTTTGGGATACTGCCGGTCAGGAGGACTATGATCGGCTACGGCCATTGTCCTACCCTCAGGTAAGCGGTCGTTCGTACTTTTGAACCGTAAATGTCGTGACTGATCCATTTCTTTACAGACGGACGTATTCATTCTGTGCTTCAGTGTCGTCGCATCGGTCAGCTTCGACAACGTGACGACCAAATGGATCCCGGAAATACGTCATCACTGCCCGGAAACTCCTATCCTGCTCGTCGGTACGTGCAACGCTACCACTTAGGTTGCGGCAAGATTCGTTTGTTTTTCTGCACGGGCGTCATACGACCAGACCTACCGCTGCGCTTCCGTCCATTTACGGAAGGAGGCTACTTTTTTGGATGATGCATCATCTATGCCAGCACCAGTGCTGCTTCTTTTGTAAAGATCGGCGGCAGGCGGCTTTCACCCACCGCCGATCGACTGTCCGACTGTTTCGACTGACCATCATTCGATGTGTGCCTCGTTGATGAACAGGGGAGCAGATGAGCTGCATCTTATGTGACCCAATGTCCCCCTTATCCTATGGCCGTGCAGGGTCATCATCGGTCACCGCATGCGTTCCGACCAAGTGGCTAACTGTTTGCAGTAACGGATGATGGTCTGTAAAAGTGGCCCATCCTTCGTTGTGTTGACAGTACTGGCTAATGATTTTCTTGTGGTTTGTTATGTTACAGGCTTTGGTTTTGTCCACACGATCAGATCGAGCCAGTGCAAATGGTATAATCCATATTCTATGATCGTTGGGTGTTGTTCCTTGTTGCATACTGATCTGGTCGATATCTGTCGTGTTTCGTCTCCTACACACGATACTCACGGACTAGAGCAAATAGTGTATGCTTAACCGGCTTGTAT